TCATTATTATTATTATTATTATTATTTCTTTTAGGGTAATTTATTTTCTATATGACGACTTATAGTTCACTTCAATTTTGTAGAGAGTTTGCCCAAACTCATGAGAATGCTCAACACTTGTCTGATGCGGAATGGAGTCGGCAATTTATTGAATGGTTTAAAGATAGGGTGTGTAATATATAAATATCAATTTTGATATTCTAATATTGTAATACCCATTCTTAAATATTTAACGTAATCTTGTTGATAGGTCGCACAATTGCATAAAAGAGATGATAGTCGTATCATGGAAGATCTACTCTCACTTTCACGCGGTCCCACCAAATATTCGATGCGTTCTAATGGTTACGTCGTTAATGGATATAGATTTCATGTAGAAGATTATGATAAAAGGTTAAGAACTCAAAATTGTGGTGTTGTTGTATTAGGTGAGAATGATGAAGATAGTGAGAATCTTGATTACTATGGAGTCTTAACAGAAGTAATTGAGTTGCAATTTGTCATGGATAGAAGAGTGACTTTATTTCGATGTAATTGGTTAGATGTGTATGATGAAGTAAAAGGAGTTAAAAAGGATGAGTATGATTTGTGAGTGTTAATCCGGATAGATTTTTGAACACAAATGAGCCGTTTGTTTTAGCGGATCAAGCATCTCAAGTATTTTATGCTAATGATAATTCCAACAAAGGTTGGAAAGTAGTGAGGAAGACTCAACCTCGTGATGCCTATGAGATTGTGGAACAAATAGATGATGATATTGTAGAGTTAGGAAGTCCTTCACAAAAGAAAAGAAAAACAACTAATGAGGTGAAGTATTTTTTATGAATTAATATATTCATTGTTAAATATTATGATGGCACAATTTCTTTTATTCCTATATTGCTACATATTTTGCAGGTTCAATTTTAAAATTTTGACTCTTTTTGCAAGTTCAAGATGAAACCATTGAAGATTGAAAATGAGGTCGTTTCTAATATGAAGAGTACTATCAGATATACATTTGTTGCGCCTGGTGCTATAGGAAAGGGACGGGGACGAGGGCTTAAAAGTTTGGGCGAGAAAGGGACTACGCCATCTAAGAGTTTATTGCCTCAATCAAGTGATCTAGTTAAGAAGTACATCAAAGAAATTGAAACAAGTAAGATATTTTGTATTCTTTTGCTTCAGTCCATATGAGAAATCTTTAATTGTTTACTGGTAATTTGAAACAAATGCCTAAACCTTTGTATTAATCCTTCCAGTTGAGTGTTAACTGTCAAATCTAAAACTGATGCAGAATATCAAATATTCACAAATGAGAACTCTTGATGCAGAATCACCTTAAGAAAGTGTTTACATTTCTAGTCCTTCTCATGTCTTGTGATAGATTTGTCAACTTATTAAGTATGGATTTCATCCTTACTTGTTAGCACAATTTCAAACGTCTCTAGTCATTCTCATGTCATGTGACATAATCCTTGATTGCTCTGTTTGATGCAGAACATATTGTTTATTGGTAATATGATTTGTCTTTTTTTTTTTTAGGTTCTATCGAGAAGGGAAGAGAACAAGGACTTAAAAAGTCTACCATGTTCGCTAGTCAAAGAATGCAAATGATACATAAGAACTCCATCGTTTCTGAGAAAGAGAACGTGCAAATTAATAATTCATTTCCTACATCTGCTATTCAAGTTGAGAAATACACCCAAGAAGTTGAAACAAGTAGGATTTTTTCAAACATATATTTTTTGCAAATCTGTTATGTTTTCATTTTTTTTTATAAACTCTTATATTACGCTAGTGAGTCCAACTGCTATAGGAAATGGTCTGAAGCAAAAATCTGGATCTTTGAGCTCATCTGTAGGAATTTCAGAATATGATGTGGGATCTTTCAACAAGAGTGTTGTTTGTGCTAATCAACATATGCATACTCCTTCTAAAAGCACAAAATCAGGTTCTACCTTCTCCTCTAGTCAAAAAATGCGAAAAGTGACAAAAAATGTTCTTGAGAAAGAGGATATGCAAACCAATGTTTCATTGCCTCCATCTAGTGATCAAGTTATGAAACACGCTCAAACAACTGAAAACGGTATGATATCTTAAATTTTCAGATGTTATTAAGTCTTATAATTGAGTTTGATATCAATAGTTTTTATCAAATTATATAGTTGTAGGTTCATCTAATCCTACAAAGGAAAGAAAAGTTCGAGGAAGCAACAAATGTAAAGAAGTTGCTTCACTGGAAATTGGACAAAAGTTAAAAGTAACCTTTTACAATAATAGAACGGTTGGAACAAATAGCAATCTATTTTCAAGGCATTTGGGGAAAATTGTTCGTGATCGTAATATTTGTCCCTTGGGAGTATCATCGTGGCATGATATTAAGCAAGAAAAGTTGAATCACATGTGGGCAACTGTTGAGGTAACAAATATACACCTGATTCAAATTCTTTAGTGTTACCTGATAAGCCATGTGTTCTGTCCATATAGTCGATGTTCCTGATTTTAGAAGTCTATATACAATGGCTAGTATCGATAATCAATTGTAATAGATAGAGAATCTATAATCAAGTACCTTAGAGTGTTTTTATGATTTGGAAACAAACTATTGAGAAACAGATATAATACCTGTAGATAATAACTCATTTTTAAATTGTTGTAGCATAAATTTGAGAGTGTTGATATGAATGAGCATCGTGATCATATCTTGGGATGGATGAACGAGTTATGGAACAAATGGAGAGGACACTTGCATGCAAAATATGTGAAGGACAAGCCAATTCAACAGTCTCTTAAGAATGTTCCAACTGGAGTAGACAAAAAAGAATGGGAATGGTTAGTAAAGGAGCATTTTGCTTCTGAAAGTTTTCAGGTATGCCTATTGAATAAATAGTCTGCTTTGCTACTCTTTTATGCAGTTTGATTTCCCTTCTTAGCAGCTTATATATCTGAAAACAAACCTAAGTATAGAACATGTCTCTAGCTAAGATCCCATTTTTATAAGTACTTGCACTAGAAGCTTATTGTTGAATAAGTGCAGGCAAGAAGCAACAGAAATGCAACTAACCGAGCTAAGTTGAAGATGCTTCATCATATTGGTAGCAAGCCTATTAGAGAGATTATCTATCAAAAGGTAATATCATAACATTATTTTTCTAAATAGACTAATTATGAGGTGCGTGCTATTTGACATGTTTGACTTTGATGTAAAGGGTGGGAAAGATGGCAATCCACCAGATTTGGCAACTATTTTCTTTGAGACTCGTAAGAAAGATAACAAGCTTGTTGAACCTGAAGCAATTGAAAAACATGTGCGTTTTGTAAATTGAACATATTAATTACTTGAAATTGATGTGTTATGATAGAAAATGTTCTTTGATATATTTTGTAGGCTCAACTCGAAGAAATGGTTCAAGCAGATCCATCCCTACCTACTATAGATATTGTTGAAAAATGTTGTGGACCTCAAACTCGTAGCCATGTATTTGGATTTGGGGGTGGAGTAAAGGCAAAAGACTTGAAAGGTGGCACTTCTTCAAAGGCTGAATTGTTGTCCGCGCTACGTTCAACTCGAGAGGATATCAAATCCTTGAATGAAGAAAACAAATCCCTGAACGAGGAAAACAAATCTTTGAATGCTCGCTTATCTACCATAGAAGATGAGATGAAAGAAATAATGAAAATGAAAGAGTTCTTCGCTGCTCAGCAAGCACATGTCCCACCTATAACATCTGTTTCAACTGAATGACCCCTGCCTTTTCAGCCGTTCAAGTTAGTAACATTATACCTAACTTTTTAATTAATTTTGTTGAGATGTCGCATCATAATGAATGTGTGATTAATGTCAATTTACTGATCTTTCATGGACTCTAATTCTTCTTTCGTCGCTTTTAACCAGTCATGCCTTTAAGGTCTCAATAAGACTCAGTTACATAATTAGGTTCATCCAATTCTATGGGAGATACCAAGAAAACATAATCCTCAATCTCATAAGATCGTTTCGGTACACCTTTTCTTGTACTCTTACGAATTTGAAGTTCAGATTCCTCTATAGGATTTTGAGATTCATAACTCCCACTTGGAATAAGAATCATTTCTTGATCCATTGAATTATCAAGTATGTTTGACAACATTATCTGATCTTTTGAATTAAACAATGCGTACAGATGCTCAACTTCATCTATTTCACCCTTTTTAGGAAAATCTTTTTTCAAAAATCTGACATCTCGTGATACATATTTCAGTAATACTTCAATTCTCCAGTTCATCTATGAACACATACCCTTTGGAGCGTTCAGAGTACCTTATAAAGATACATTTCTTTCCTTTTGGACTTAGTTTACCAACCTCACCAAAATGATCTTTAATGTATGCTTCACAACCCCACGGTCGTAGATCATTCAGGTTTGTTTTATTACTAGTCCAAAGTTCATAAGGAGTGGAAGACACTGATTTAGAAGGCACTTTGTTCAATATGTAAGCCGCAGTTAATAATGCATCTCCCAGAAAGAGATAGACAAATTTGCCTACACCATCATTGATCTTGTCATGTCTAATAATGTTCTATTCCTTCTTTCAGCTACACCATTTTGTTGAGGTGTATAAGGAGTAGTAACTATCTGATAATACCCTTTTCAATACCTAATTCTTCAAATTGTTTTGACAAATTTTCACTTCCTCGGTTGGTTCTTAAAGCTTTTATGATTTTATCTAATGAATATTCAACTTTATTCATATATCTTTTAAAGCACTCAAGTGCTTCAGATTTATGAGAAATCAAATAGACATAACCAAAGCGCATGAAATCATCAATAAATGTAATGAAATATGTGGCACCAGACCTTTTCCTTACATTCATTGGACCACAAATATCAGAATTAATTAATTAATAACATCAATATCATTGTTACTTGAATAACATGCCATTACACAACGGTTAACATAATAGTCATAAGTTGAAGTATTACAATCTAAAACGATAAAACGATCATAACGTAGTCCAAAACCATATAAAACATTATCTAGAGTTATTCTCTAACAACATTATGACTAAAAAAACAAATCAAAACCAATGTCTAAAAGAACAGACACAAATACTAAGTTTCGTCGAATCTCTGGAGCATATAGGACAACATGCAACATCAAGGAACGGCCACCACACAAATCCACTTTGCAAGTGCCTATACCTTTGACTTTAAGACTAGCATTATTTCCTATGTAGATCCACCTTGATTTAGATGAAACTCGACGAAACTCTACAAACGCCTCTCTATCTCGACTAACGAGGTTGGTGGATCCTGAGTCTACAATTCATATAGGATAAGATTCAGTTAGTAAAGAAGTGCTAGAACATATGTAGCACTTAGAGTTGCGTTTAGAAATGCTACCTTTTTGGGCTAGGTACATTCACGAGAAAAATGCCCCAATACTTGGCAATTGTAGCACTTCATTTTACTCTTGTCTCTCTTCTTGAAAAACCATTTTCCTTTCTTGGAGTTTGGCTTCTTCTTTTTCTTAGAGGATCCTTCTCCTGTCTCTTTGTCTTTCCCATTTCTTTTCCAATTTTTCTTGCGTTTGAAGCTTGAAGATTTTGTACCTCTTGACTCTGTCACAAAGGCATTAGAATCAGCTTTAGCAGCACCAAGTCGCTCATCTTCAAGTTCAACATAGCGTGCAACATCAGAAAAAGTTTTTTTGCTATCATTGTGGGTCAAGCTAACCTTTAAATGTTCCTAATTATTGGGAAGAGAAAGAATCACTGCTTGAACTTGTTACTCATTTGAAAGAACATGGCCAGCACTCGTGAGCTGATTTATCATGTTTGACATCACCCTAAGGTGTCGTTTGATATTTTGATCATGACGCTTTTTGTAAGTGTCAAATTTGATAGTCAACTTTCGGAGGCGAGTTATAGATGTACCCCCATACGTTCCTTGCAGATGTGCCTACATAGCATGAGCAATTGGGAATTCCTCACATTCATGTATGAGGTCATCAACCACAGAACTAACTATTATTCCATGTGCAGTGGAATTAGCTTTTTTCCAAGTTTCGTAAGCTTCAAGATCTCTTCTGTGTTGTGCAGAATTACCCTCTTCTGGTTGATTTAAAACATGATTTATTTATTTTAAACATTTTGCTCTTCCAGTACATACCATATTTTACGACTCCAGATGTCGTAATTGTCACCGTTAAGTTTTTCACCTTTGTTTAAGTCAACAATGTTGCTTTTTGATGCCATGTCTATTTTGAGATAAATCAGGCAAGGATTTTTAATCAATTATGCATGTGACATACACATTAAAGCAAATTAATTTTCATAAAGGCTTCATATTTAATGTAAAATCGAAAAGATACTTATGCATCCAATCATCATCTACGAACTAAATATTTAACCAATATTTGAAATTAAATTCTTAATGTGTACATCAATATATTGAAGACTTTAATAATAAGAATTTTTTAAGTCTAATAACTTATATTAAAAACAAACAAACTACATAGTTCATATATTGAACAGCAAATAAGCAATAACAAATTACAAATCATTTTAAAGGCTAACATCCTCCCACAAGTCTTTCAGGCAATAAATATATACCCTAAAAGGCTGACTGGGCAAAATGTCATGATAAACATCAGTCAATCTACTACCCCAAGGTTCACAGAGAGCGTCTGTTAAATAAGCTAAGCCTCTCAAATTTGAAATTTCCTTATAATCAACTAGTTCAGCTCATTTTATTTCAAAAAAGTGAATAAAATTGCGTTATGAAATATTAGGGAACATCTTCAAAGACTCAAGCTCTTTAAATTTCTTCTCCCTTTCCCTTCGAATGACCCTTTGGTTTCGTCACAAATTTGGTGTCGCCCTTGGGACACCAATCCGTATGACTTCATGCCCTTGGAAATATGTCCTCCTACGACTTGCTCTTCTACCCTGTCTCTTTGCTCTACTTTGAGAACTCCCACTTGGAGTAATTTGGGCATGTTCCCGTTCATTCATATCTGAAATCGGAATAAAACAAAAATATGATTAATACCATTTAATGTGACAACGTATGTCAAAAATTTCTCGTAGAAGACAAGGAACTGTTTAAGGAACATAAGGACTAAGCGAATTTTCAAGACCAATTTTAATACACATATCTAGTCAACACAATCGGCCACTACTCTTTATTAAATAAAGAAGTCATGGCCTTAAAAAAAATTTAGAATGGCAAAAATAAAATTGTATGGACCCAAAATAGGTGCTGTAATGTCCAAAAAATATTATAATATTTATATATTTTTCTTTCAAATAATAAAATAAAAGGTACAACAACTAGTATAAGGGACAACATATTTTTTAGTTATTTATTTATATTAACTGAAAGACAAAACAGTACTACTATCTTAAAAGGCAAAACAAAAATGTTTTCTGAAAAAATATAGCAGTGAAAAGTCTTCTATTTTTGTAAATATATAATATGTAATATAAAGCAGTAGATGCTGTTTTCAATAACCAATTAAAAAGGTACTTTATTTTGTCATTATAAAAAAAATAAAAAAATCAACATCTTTTCTAAGAAGGAAAGCCTGAAAAGTACCTTCACAAGTCCTTTATTTTTTCATCCTACGTACTTAACAAGGTCCTTTTACAAATACAATTCCCTTTTTAAGAAACTTATTTTGAGAAAAAATAAAAGGCACTTTTACAAGACCCAAAAATAAACATAATCTCATACCCTTTTTTTTCATTATAAATAAAAAGGGACATGACAACACCATCTTTATCTAAGAAAAATCTTGTCTCACTTTCTCTCGTTATGGGAATACCGCTTTCACCATATTCAAACAAACCGCTTTAACCATATTCAAAAAAAATCATAGAAGTTTACTCATCTTCCTTAAAATTCTTTCGATCCATAATCTCTATAAAGATGAACGATAAAGACATTGAATCAGCAATATCTATGAATTCTACTTCTCTGTTAACAACATGGAGAAAAAAAAACTGAATTTTCACTGCTCAAACAACATTTTTGATTCCAAATCAAAAGCACGATATTGAGTTCAATTATACAATTTATTTATGTTCTCCTATGCTTTCTAACAAGTGAGTAACATATACTCTATCATTTATTTAAAGAATTTTTTTTTTCTTAGAATATGACAATTGTTAACAATTATCGATAGTGACAAACTACAAGAAATAATATTAAAAATGAAAGAAAAAACATCCATGGCTCTGATACCAATGTAATAAGTTACGTAACAGGGACAAAATTGTGTACCTGTTAACAACATCGGATTAATAATTGAATCTTGTGAAACAGTTGCTCTAAATCCGACTTTGAGTCTCAAGGAATCTAAGTTTATGATTCACAAACTAAATCTCTAATTATTTGTTAATGATCTTTAAAAGGAAAGAATTTTTTTCTCTGGTTTTTGTTTTCTGT